TCCCTTCAATGTCGATTTTAACCATTCCACCTCCAGCTGCCAAGGCACTAAGATTTGGAATTGTCCCACTAAACATTGTGCGTTTCTACATGTCTTTAAGATTCTCCTCAAGACCTAATTCTTCAACCAATCTTTTTGTTATCTGCCTAAGTGGCTTGGTGTCAAATCTCACTGGTTAACTCTCCTGTGACTAGAAACATAACTCTGTTTCTCACTCCACAGATGCTGCTAGATCTGCTGCCTTAGCCAATTAGCATCGAATTGCCAAGGAATCGGCCCCACCTTTCCCTAGATGTACAACATGGAAACTGACCCTTTGGTCCAACTCGTCCATGCCGACCAGGTATTCTAAATTGATTCAGTCCCATTTTCCAGCATTTGGTCCTTATCCCTCTAAACCCTTCCTATTCACATGCCCATCTAGATGCCTTTTAAATGTTGTCATTGTACCAGCATCCACCACTTCCTCTGGCAGCTCATTCCATACAGACACCAGTCTGTGTGAAGAGGTTATCCCTTAAGTCCCTTTTAAATCCTCTCCGTCTCACCTTAAACCTATGCCGTCTAGTTCTGGACTCCCCTACCCTGGGGGAAAGACGATGGCTATTCACCCTATCTATGCCCCTCACGATTTTATTAACCTCTATAAAGGTAACCCCTCAGCCTCCAACAGGGGAAAATAGCCGCAATCTATTCAACCTCTGCCTATAGCTCAAGGTCTCCAACCCTGGCAACATCCTTGCAAATCTTTTTTGAAACCTTTCAAATTTCACAACATACTTCCTATAGCAGGAGGACCAGAAGTGAATGCAGTATTCCAAAAGTGGCCTAAACAATGTCCTGTACAGCCACAACATGACCTCCCAACTCCTATACTCAATGCACTAACCAATAAAAGCAAGCATACCAAACACCGTCTTCACTATCCTGTCTACCTGCGACTCCACTTTCAAGGAACTATGAACCTGCACTCCAAGCTCTCTTTGTTCAGCAACACTCCCATGTTGTGATCATTTGAAATTCATCATTCTTGAATCTATACTTCTGAGTGCAAGACAAAACATTTTGCCCATATCTCTCTTCTCAGCATTATTTGTTCGTTCACCAAGTGCGACCAAACTACTTGTAATTTTATTGATTGGTTTCTGCCTTTCACCGTGGACTAGTGTGCTTAATGGACACTTACCTGCTGGATTGATGGGAAGACAAGATGCATATGGAACAATAATCCTGAAGTTTAAAAGACTGATGAGTTCTTTTAAATAACAATATATTTCTTGGATACTGATACATAAAGTAAAGAAAGCTTTCAAGTTTTTGTTGTACTTTTCCATTAAATAGGCTCTCTACCACTGAGATTAAGTGTTGAGCTGAAAAATAACGTATGATTTTGAATTCTTATTATGCAAAAGCTCCGTCATAAAGAGGCAAGCAAACAAGACTGTCTGGTCCTTCACCCGATTACAGATTGTTCCTGTATCCATGTACTTAAAGTGCTAATCTCAAAATATCCAACAGAATAATCTCAGGTAGCATTATTTTTGTGTAAAGTACACTTTGGATTAGTATATCAGGTCAATTAGCATATAAGATGTAGTTAATCAACATAATCAATTAGGACAATTAACATAACTGGCATAAATTACCTAAAGTCTACTGGAACCAGTGCATATGTTTTAAATTTGTTGTTGGGTGTGGTTGAAAATGACAAGGCAGTACTTTTTGTCCATTTCTAGTAGCCCAGGGGCAATTAAGATCAACCACGTAATGGGGAATTATAGTTATATTGAGGGGTGTTCGGTTCCCTTCCCTGAAAGATATTTGTGTGCAGGTGCACCACATCACACTCCAACAAGCAAGATGCTTTTCTCCCAAACCCAAGATTTTAGAAGATGGAATGTTTCAATATAAGTGGTTACTGAGCCATAGAATAAATCCTTGTGATAAGAAAGCAAAAATGGAATTGGTAAAGTTTGGAGAAAGTGGATGTTGCCACAGGGAAGGCACAAGGAAGTCAGACAGACAGCTCTATTTCTTCAGCTATCAGGTTAATGTCAATCAACACTCCTTTTCAATTGTTTGAGGTTCTTCACTCTGTGTTATTTCACCAAGAATGGCACTAATTCCTTCAGGTCAAGTTAAAAATGGAGAATATGAATGAGCTACCTTCTACTTGTGGTATTGAAAGAACAGCAGAGGTGGTCACTATGGATATGCTGCCATAGTTTGGAGGGGTACATGGGATTCCGGATTAAGGAACTATCTTCAGGCTCACACTGTTAGTACAGAGGTAACAAAGTTAACAATTGCTCTACATTATTATCTTTGTTTCTGCTAAATATAATTTTGAGTGGATATAATAAATTCACGCATTAAAAACAGTTACTGATCTAACAATAGGTGAATCATAAATTATTTACAATAAAACATGTGCTGCATTCTTTACAGCACACAATTATTTGCAATGTTTAACATCAGATTTAACCTTGGATCAGTGATACCATTTACCTGTGAGCCGATAAATCAAAGATTTCAGCCAAAATATAAATTTGAAGATGTTGGCCTGAATTTACATTCCTAGATTTCAGGATAACAAGAGTGAGGAAAATTCCCAGCTCCACAAATGTGACACTGGAAGAAGTATTGTGAAAGCTTGGATTTCATTCAGATGAGTGGGTACTGAGTGAAAGGATGCCACAATGTTTAGAGGCTGTAGGGTATGGAGACAGGTTTAGCAAAAGGCTATTTCAGTGCTCTGGCACTGTGTCCCATTATTTTAATACATTTTTTTAAAAGACCTCCAGCCCTCACCTCTCATATCAGCCCTCCTCCCTCCTGCTACCAACCTCCCTCCCCACATACACACACTCCCAACGCCCCAACTACACCAACTAATGCTCCCTCCCCATCCATATCCTTTTATAGTCCGTGTCATTTTAGTGCTAATTCATGCCAACCTATGCCCTCCACCTATCCCTTGGCCACTTGCAGACTTTTTAGCCGTCATGACAAATTAATGCCACCTCGTGTCAACATATACCGTCTGCCACAGCTTTCCGTTTTTTTGTCTACTTTGTCTCAGGCCACTCCCTGAGATCCTTGCTGAGATTTCATAAAGTTCTTAACTAGCTATTGATGACTTCATTATTTCAACATAAGAGCTTCAGCCTCTTGAGCCTGCTCCACCATTTAATATGATCATTGTTGATCAAAAATGCTCCTATTGATAAAAAGCCATTGACTACATGTAACACCCGTGAATCCTTTATAACAAGTATTTGAATTCATAGCGCCACTTCAAAAAAATTTAGAAGTGCCAAGGGCTGTCAATTAAACTGAGAACTGACAGGTACCTTATGTTTTAATGATTCATGTGAAATCCTTCATGCAGTATTAATCCTATTGTACAACCCTCAGGATTAGGTCACTTTACAGAATGAAGTAGCAAGGACCATATTTTTTAAATTCTATGCCAACTCTTTTTCTTCCCCCAAACACTTAAAAGACAGGACTTTTAACTGCCTTATCAACTTAACAGTTTCATTTCACAGAACTCTTCAGCAGCTCTGTTTACTGCTTCATTAAGCCTCGCAGTTAAAATGAATTTATAAACATATTCTTCACAATTTTGTCTACTTGAAAAGGCATCCTACCTCTCCCCATAGACCATGTGCCCTCTCCCGAAGTGTCTTAGAATCGTAACTAAAATGGTACTGTACTTTTACAAAGGAGTACTCAACCTCTCCCAGGACTCTGGTAAGTTTAGAGCTTCTCCTACCAGTTAGGTTTTCACTAGTTAGGTTTTTGAATTTCAACTAACAAAGATCAGAGCTGATGGTGACAACTGCACTTTAACATGTTCAGTTGCCTCTGTGAACTGTGGCTGTAAAAAAAAAACAGAACCTGCCCCTTACATTCCCTGTGAAAATGGGGGGAACTGGGTTTGGTGGTGGGATTTCCAGATTTACCTCTTAACCACCATTTTCACTAAGAAGGAAAGCTACTCAGTTTGCGTGAAAATTCAGGGCATAATTTTGGTTGGCATTAAAGTACAACATTTAAGAATGGATTCATAGCTGAAAGTGATGTCTATTAGATGAGGTGCTAATGTTTGTCCTCCCAGGCAAATGTAGAAGATCCAATTACACTATTCAAAGGAGAATAGCTGGAATTATCCTGAAGTCTTGGACCATATTTCTGCTTCAGTTGACATCACTTAAATGATTGTTGGATCTTGTTAAGGTTCAAAAGCCCGTATTTGTCTATCATATGATACTGACTACATTTTGAAAGTGATCCACTTGATGAAGTGCTTCGTAAGGTCCCGAAGACAAGCGTGAGGCTTAGTTGTACGTGTGGTTTGGTAACAGCCAGACTGATGACTATAGATTTTTGTCTCAACATGGAAGGCAACGCTAACTTTAAGAACAACTTTAGTTTCAAAGTGCCCATTCCTCCATCAAGCTGCAACAAGGAAAATGAATGCTCCCGGATATGTCAAATGGAACACTTGAGGCCCTCAGAAGTTCAGAATCTAAAGCCTGTGCATTTCAAAATCCTTGTAGAATAAACTGAACGTGTAAGAGACTTAAGCAAAAATGAACACTAATTATAGCCAACTCAGAACCAGTACCCAACAATTCTGTGACAAGAAGGTCTCGTTGAAGTCAAAATCATACCATTATACAAATGAGTGGGCCACAGATTAATTCTCAGGAAGGGTTTATCTTATGGAAGCTGCTTTATTTACTTAATGTATCTTCCGCGGTATTTGGGAGAATGATGCCTAAAACACATGGTTTGCAACAGCAAAACTTGGCATAATGAAGTTTGACAATAATCGCTTCAATTTCCAGAGATCTGTAACTGTCACATCACAATAAAACCTCACTAAACAAATTGGGTTGTTAGCTCTGTTCATTCTCAAAGCAGTAGCTCTTTTTGACTGCTGGCAATATGTAATTTAAAAAAAAGTCAATATCCCCTACTGAAAAAAATTCCTACTTACCAAGATTGGAGGAGGCCCGTCCTTCTGCTGCACGATCCTTCAGGTTCTCTGCAATATTCAACTGTTGCTCATGGTACTGCTTTGCTCTCTCCAAATCCTGCATGCATCGCGCTGCATGACCCAGCCCTGCATACGCTCTCATTTCAATTGCCTTCTCGTCTAGGTCCTGTGCTAATTCCAGCACATGGTTATGATAGGACATTGCTTTGTCAAAGTTCCTCCTGTAGTGATAGGCACTGCCGAGGTTACTGTAAGCGCGTGCTTCCTCTCGCTTGTTGCCCAGTTCCTTCGCAATTCTGAGGTGCTGTTCGTGGCACTGTACTGCATTTTCAAAGTCACCCATTGCTATGTAAACAGCTCCCATATTGCCTAGTTCTCTGGCTTCCGAGAGTTCGTCTTTGGATTGTTTAGCAAGAAGGACACACTGTTTGTGACTGGCCAGTGCATTTGGGTAGTCTCCGATGGCTGTGTAGACATGACCCAGGCTGCTCAATGCTGAAGAGGCTGCCTGAAATGTAGGAAAATAAATTATGTTTTAAACATGGAAGTACATTTGAAGTAAAAGTTTCTTATTCAGCACTGTAAGCAACCAAGAAGCAAGCCAGTCTGGTACCAAAACATGAAAACGCATCCGCTGTACCCGTTGTGGCCTCCTCTACATCAGGGAAACCAAGCAGAGGCTTGGGGACCGCTTTGCAGAACACCTACGCTCGGTTCGCAATAAACAACTGCACCTCCCAGTCGCGAACCATTTCAACTCCCCCTCCCATTCCTCAGACGACATGTCCATCCTGGGCCTCCTGCAGTGCCACAACGATGCCACCCGAAGGTTGCAGGAACAGCAAATCGTATTCCACTTGGGAATCCTGCAGCCCAATGGTATCAATGTGGATTTCACAAGCTTCAAAATCTCCCCTCCCCCTACCGCATCCCAAAACCAGCCCAGCTCGTCCCTGCCTCCCTAACCTGTTCTTCCTCCCACCTATCCCCTCCTCCCACCTCAAGCCGCACCCCCATTTCCTACCTACTAACCTCATCCCGCCCCCTTGACCTGTCCGTCCTCCCTGGACTGACCTATCTCCTCCCTACCTCCCCACCTACACTCAGCTTTACTGGCTCCATCCCCGCCTCTTTGACCTGTCCGTCTCCTCTCCACCTATCCTCTCCTCTATCCATCTTCTATCCACCTCCCCCTCTCTCCCTATTTATTTCAGAACGCCCTTCCCCTCCCCCATTTCTGATGAAGGGTCTAGGCCCAAAACATCAGCCTTCCTGTTCCTATGATGCTGCTTGGCCTGCTGTGTTCATCCAGCTCCACACCTTGTTATCTCAGATTCTCCAGCATCTGCAGTTCCTACTATCTCTGATGAAAATGCAAAGCTTATTTTTACTAAGACAACATAATAAAATCACTCAAATTCTTGCTTCAGAGTTTGAAGATAATTGAGAAAGGAAGTCGAGGGTGTACATGTGTGAATGGTACATTCATACTCCAATATGCATTCCAAATAACTACAGTCAGTTCTGATATAACGTGTTAATTCCGTTCTCGTGCAATCTCCCGTTATAAGAAAATTGTGCAATAACAGCGCCATTTAAACTAATCGGGCTGGAATTGCTTTACAGCCAACACAGGTAAGGAAAGTTCACATTCTACAAATAGCGGTCTAAATTCTTCACTCGCATCAAAGCCAATTCGCACTGAAGGAACACGTGTTACAGCAGAACCAACTGTATTTTTAAAATATACACTGCTCAGGTCCAGCTGAGAGTTTGTGGAAAGTGCTATCCACTTAGGGAGAAACAACATGCTTTTTCATAAATGTTAGAAATGAGAATCTAAGAAACAGTTTTCAAACTGGGGTTTGCATATCTTACAGCAAAAGGCTTCAATGCTTTGACACCACAGGTTCCTAAAGTGTAGATCAAGAAGCATCATGTCCCAGATATAAAGTCTAAATAAACATTTCCCGTGAATTGCACATATCAACAGGTACAGATGGTGACTGATCAAATTCAAATGTAGGGTTTGTTGGAAGAACAGCATATCCAAATCCTTATTCAAACAGAACAAACTAGTAAGAAAGATACATGAACAAAAGAATAGAAGCTATATAATCTTTATGGGTCAGTATACAGGACAAAAGGCTGCATGTGCACTGCGCATCAGTGCCTATGAAGTCTGCAAAGTCTGTAGCCTGGAGCTGGGTGTATCCTAGATCATGATCAATATCCATAAACTGTATATTTCATTGTTTTTCTCTTTTGTTTTCAAAGAAGAGAGCTTTTAGCAAATTAATTATTTCGTATATATTTGCAAAAATATATGCAATGACTGAACCACTTAGTTGAGATTAGGGGGTAATAGGCCCACATCAACATTTGAAAGATCCCTTGATTTGGAGAGAAAATTACCATAGGAAGATGAATACTTTTGGAGCCTAGAGTTATCATTTAATGTTCCCGAAAATGGAATATTTCTGTCTGGTTCGGAAAACTGAAAACTCGGCTGCACCATTGATGACCATCAAAACTAGATTGTAACTAATTTTAAGCTGAACTGCAAGGTTTAAGACCTTGATGATGCTGTTGCATGTTGAGAAGGATTAGGGAGGAGAGTGCTTATACTGGCAGTTGAACACTACCATTCACATGGCCATCTGTTGACCACCTGCAAAGCACTACAGGCTCCGGTGGTTTCCAGTTTCTAAGATGTCTATTGCCAAAGTAACCCCACAGTCTTAGTTGAATCAGTCTGTGTAATAATAGAACAGATGACTACATGGCAGAAACACCAGTTTAACAAGTGTTACATGGAAGACAAACACTTTTAGCATTGAAGCCTTCAGATAAATGTGTTCTGTACCCAAATTAAGCCATAAATTAAGCCATTTCTAATTCACCGCATAGAAACAATGCAAAAAGACTGTTCTCATGCCCTTCCATTCTAACATTTGCAAAGTACTCTGTGACAATATTGTAGCTTTAAAAGGTGCATGTTGTCCTTTTTTTTGAAGAAAGGTTTTAAGACAGAGGTGACGAGCTGTTTATTTGAATCCAATCAAGTAAACAGCTTGTGAGGCATTGGGACTTTTTTAAAAGTTGGAACAATAGAAGCAGCCTGAATGGCTGGAGTCAAGTTCTCTCAGAGCCAGGATTTTTAGTTTTAATTCTTCAGTAGCAGTTGTTGCTGGGGTCTTGAAGTTGGGTTTGGAAGCTGCAGTACATCTCTCCCTGCCTCTCTCTGTCTCTGAGTTTTCTCTTGATTCTTTTCTTCCTGGACTGGAGAATTACCTGTGAGATAATCTATTTTACTGATTTTGCCTTTGCCAAGGGCTTGTTTATAGGATGCTACTGTATTGGAACTGTTTCTATTTAGTAGTTAACAAATCTATTATTCTGATAAGTTTTCCAATAGAGTCAGCTTATTCTAATTTCTTTTTTCTTTTGCTGTATTTGTTAATGTGTATGAATGAAGTGTGTTTTACTTCAAATCTGGTAGTTTGACCAATCAAGTTGTCTCCGCAATGCAACATCTGGCGCTTGCCTTTAAACTAAGAAAAAGTTAGTGTCTAGACTATCTTCTTAATTTGAGGGGTTTGGTCTGGCCCATAACAACTCCAACTTTATAATCATTTCCACTTAATGGGATTTCCAATCCATGCTCAGTAATTAAATGTCAAAAATCTAGATCCAAGCATTAACCCCAACCAATCATCCTTTGAAAATATTCAGTGCATTGTCAGTACTCAAAGTATGAGCACTCAAAATACTAACAGCACAATTTAGAATTCTAGAATGTTTGACATAGGCTCATATCAAGTTTCTTTTATTTTTGTTAAGACTTAATTGTTGTACTTTATAATAAGGAGCTGATACACCTGTACTTGGCAAAAATTCTAAGATTAGTTCTGAGAAAACAAGGTATATATTTGTCAGATGTATCAGGACTTGAATCAGAGAACAGCAGTTGATGTTTAAATGCTGGCAAGTCTAATGGTGCCATAATTATAGTGGTGGTTATGTAGATGGGATATTTGATGCAATACGACAGGCCATATGGCAATACATTGGACTATAACCAATATGAATATATAAATAATATGTACAGATAAATTCCACAAGACATATATGATATTGCATGAATGAAGCACATTTCTCAGGGATATTTCAAATTCTGTAGCTCCTAAATTTCTCAATTTGCATTGGTCGTGTTGTATTTGGCAGAGCAACTTGGAACATGACTACACTGTACAGTTTCTGGCAAGGGTAAACATTACCTGGGGGGTTGGGGGCTGTAGTAAGTCCCTTTAATTACATGATCCATCATACTAAATGAAACCAGGTGAGTACTGCAGCATGCAAATTCCTATCCTTTAAATGGATCAGTATCCAAGGAAAGAATGGTCACAAATTAGCATTTTAGGAAGAAAAAGTTTAAAAGTGATCTTACCCAGCTAATTTTTCACTCTCACTTTCTCCTCCTTAAAAGGTTGTGCCTTTTTCTCATACATAGTTCTATCAGACCTCTTCCTCACCAATTGACTATACATCTGTGCAAGCTTAGACAGTGAGAATTTACAGCTATTCAATTCTCGCCAGCAACACAGCATCCACCACCAGCTGTCTTTCTCTAATGAGAGAGCAACCCTATTGTCCAGTAGGATAATGACAACTTTACATTTACCTCTACATTAGATCGTGAGGATTTCATTGTAAAATTTCACCTGACAGACAGCATCTCCAACAGTGCTGACTCCTCACTGCTGTCCTCACTCAACGTCCACACACACACACGTTGCCAACCAGTCTGCATACAAACATGCACAATTTCCAATACACTGGGGGAGAGGGTGGCAGAGTGGTAATGTCACTAGACCAGCCTGATGTTCTGGAGGAATACTGGCAGAATTTAAATTCAATTCATAAATCTGGAATAGAGAGCCAGTTTCAGGATTGAAGCCATCCACTGTCATAAAAACCCATCTGTTTCACTAACCTCTTTAAAGGAAGGTAATCTGCTATCCTTACCTGGGCTAGGCAACATATGACTTTCAACCCACAGCAACATGATTGACTCTTAACTAATCTCTGAAATGACAAATCATGGCACTCAGTTCCAGGTCAATCAGGAACGGGCAGCAATTTTTAGCCTTTTAAGTGACATTAACATCAACTGCACATTGTTTCAATCAATCACTCATGGAAGGAAAGTCACTTAACAATAGTTACAATCTTTTTTCATCCACATATGACTGCATAAACATTAGCTAAGGTGGCAGTCCACCTGCATCAGAATGTAATGGGTTCAAACCTCACTATGGTCTTCAACATACAATTGCGGCTGGCAATCTATGTAGTACTGAGGAGTCAGCACTGTTGTAGATGCTGCCTGTCAGGTGAAATTTTAAAATGAGATCCTCACTATCTAATGTAGAAATAAATGTAAAGTTGTCATACCGAGACTGGAACATTTGAGTTATAAGGCTGGATGAGCTGGGATATTTT